TGCATGAGAGTGTTATCATAAACATCTGGACTTATGATATGGAAAAGTCAGAATTTAACCATGTTGGCTAGTTTAGGTTTACCTTGGTTCCTGCACATGAAGTGGTGTCGATTATTACTTTAATTTTGTTTAGACTCCAAGAACAGCTTACAAATACACTCTCTGATTCTGGTGATTCTCTGTGCTCAAACAATACCTCTTCAGCTGTCCTGTGTGCTCCTGGGGTTAGTCAGCTCGCCTGTGAGGTTTGCCTTTTGTAGGCAGTGCTGTCACTCTATTCCCCTACCAGAAAGCTTAAATCTCACTGGGTCACAAGAGTGAGACATGGGTTACCTCTCAAGCTCAGGGATTTACTCTGTATTTCACATGCTGAAGGAGAGGAGAAGAATTTAGTTGGTGATTGCTCTGTTCAAAGGAAGAAATGTGTCCTGCACGCTGGATCAGTTAGTTTTGAGGAGTTGGTAACAGCAGTGGCTCAGTGAAGACATGTCAGGGGCCTGATGGTTTTGTGTAGCTGTGATCTTGTACAGAAGCTTCAAAGGTATGTTGCAGGACCACTTAATACTTGGAAGAATGCATCGGGCTATTGGACACAAATACCTGTCCTGTTTTGGGAAGCCCTGTGGTCTCGTGACCACGACTCTGAACTCCTACTCTGCTTGCTTTGTTTTCATGCTCTTCCCTCAGCATCTGCTGCTGTTGGTGGCTGAAAAAGATACAGGTCTCCAGTCTGCCTCTGTACCATCATTTTTATAAAGCCTTTCCCACAGTAATGCTTCAGATTATCTCCAAGTACTTTCATGTGTTCTTTTCCAGATGCTTAACTCTACACTCAAGCACTGCCATGGTGTGCAAGGTGACCGAGGGTGTACACAGAGCTGAGTATGTGCCTTGGTGTGTCTGTGTACAACTGACAAATTAAATGAACCTTGAAGTTCACTGGCCAGCTCTTCTGTTTCAGTTGTGTCGTGGAGAAACAGCTCTTTAAAAACAGGCAGTGTGATGCTCAGAGTGCAGGCTAGGCTTAGAAGTCTAGCTTAAGAAATCGTTTGCACAAAGAGCCTTCTAGAAATTGTGTGTATAATGGAGACTGATATTGTGCCCTTTTAAAAATGCATGATAACTTTCTAAAAATTGTTGACTCTACCTTAAATATTTCTTGCAGTAAATGGCATGATGCTGTCTGTTTGCTGGCTTTTGGCTCCTGGCTTACACAGTGGTTGACTTCTAGCCTCTAAATGTCTTCCAATTTTTGTGGGATTGATCTTTTTGCCTCTTAAGCTAGTCTTTAAATAGGTTTGTTAATAAACAGTTTTTTCCAATCTCCCACTGCTACAGAAACAGTCCCTTATAAATGCTAACATTGAACTTCAGTGGAAAAGTAATCAGAGTCAGCAAAATTATAAAAATATCCTTTTTAAAAGGGCAGACTGCACCTTATCTTTGATGGCAACCTAATACAGTCTCTCTGAATTATGTGCCTCTGTCAAAACAAAATTGAATCTTTGGAGGTAAAATTGAATGTTAACTTCAGAATATTTCAATTTCCTGCTACTACCCTCTGACAAACATGCATGGTATGTGACTTGTGTTGGTTTAAATATCTCATGAAGGATAGCTCTAGTGTGACTGAGAAGTGATCATCTTTTACAGCTGCCCTAGGATGCCCTTTTGGCTTAATAGTTGGGATCTTCTCTCCAAACAGTGCTGGTCCTTTCACGCTTCTGTACTTCTGTACCATGTTTTTTTTTTTTTAATTGAACCCTAATGGTACAGACACACATCTCTTAAACCATAAGAACAAACAACCCATTACAATGCATTGAACCAAGCAAACAACAAATCCTGTTGTGAACAACTTTCATATTTAATGCATCTCTGAAGGTCAGGAGGAACAGCTGCCTCTGGTCCTGCTGTTCTTGCTCTCTCTCTGAGGAGGGTTACCTTGTTTTTGAACCTTTGCTTGTTACCTGAGTAATGTACTGAAACAGGCTGTGGGTCTTCTTGAAATTCATTAGGTTCTTGGTATGTTCTATCATAAATCCACAAAATATTTCACTTAATAGAGTGGACATAAAAAGGAAAAAGGGACTTCTGGGTTAGCCATGGTTAGGAGAAGAGTTGGTAGAGCATGCTTTATGTATTGCAGCAGTACTGGGCAACCTCACATCGGCTGTGTCTGCACTGTACAAATACGTAGGGGTTTCTTCCTTGAAGAATAAAAAACACAGCAAAAGGGAGAAGAAATAAGTGACTTGTTATCTTCTTGATGTAGCCTCTTGAAGTGTTGGGAGATGATGTGAGAGATAAGGAAAAAGGTCTCCCTCCTACCTCCTTTCTCCAGGTGCATAGGCTATGGCACAGCCCCTCTCCTGAGCTTTTCTGAAATTAGTAAAACCTCCAAAGAACCCACAGCTGGCACCATAAAGGCAAAACCAGTGCTGTAGTGCTTGCTACTTAATCTTGTGTGGGTGGCTCTCTTAACCCACCGCAGTCACTGCCTGTATTCATTGTTCAGGACCTCTGAGACATCTGAGCCTGAGCTCCAAAATGAGTAGCAGGACCTTGCTGGAAGCACAGTTATTTGTTGTTATGTAGAGTTTGCGGCTTTAATGTTTTTTACTACTGAATTACTACTGTTCCTGTTGTCCTGGATGCAGAGCACCAACTATGAAGCTCAGACCTTGTTTTGCTGTTGGAGAAAGCAGGACAGTACTTCTAAATACTTTATTCCCCCTCAAAGTTTTGGCCTGTTGTTGGTTTCATGGTAACTTGGATTAGTATCTTCACTAGGTTAGTCTTTAAATGTGGGTCTTGTCTATGATAAGTATTGTAAACTGGAGGTAAGCTGTCTCATCGTGTATTCTAGGAAATGTTCCCAAACAGTTTGGAATATAATTCTAGAAATCTAGTAGTTGTCTGTAGTACACCACTGAGGGGCTGAACAAATGTGTTGTGTCCAGTTTATATTGGGGATACCTGGATTAAAAATTGATTCTGCAGCTTAAAAGTGCTGATGAGAAATAATACTGGCCTTAGGTTCATTGGATGTTAGCAGAAGTACTTGACTCTTACTGGTCCCTCCTTAGAAAAACATTCTTCTACAACTGAACATCAACTTGAAAGTTGTGGGATGAAATATGAAGTCAGTGAGAGCGTTCTGTGAATTTCAGAGGAGTCAAGATGTTCTCTGATAGTCTTGCCTTCTAAAAATTCTATTTGTGTTTGTGTGTAGCATTTCAGAGGAGTCAAGATTTTCACTGATAATGTTGCCTTCTAAAAATGATACATATCTTTTTTTTCTGTGTGAGTGTGGCTGCTCAGTGCCACAGGGTTAGTTGCAGATGGAGCTAGTTGCTTGTGTTGCAGGACACATTCTGGACTTGGGCTGCCCTTCTTTCCTTGGGCTTTCTTCTGCATAGTTGTTTGGTTTGAGCCTGGGTATGTGACAACCAGAGGTAGCAGTTGGGGCAGTGCTCTCATGTCTGCCTGTCTTGTGATTCTGAAAACCAGGACCAAGAGCATCTTTCTACCTCTGTAGCATCACTTAAAGGACCATTATCCTGCAGATGCATTTTATCTATTTATAGGTAATGTTATTAATAGAAGAAAGAACGGACGTTCTTTTCATTTAAAAACAAGGCTGTATCTTAATTGTTAGACCAGATGTTGATAAGAAAGATGCTTTTATTGTGGCAATCCAGTGCTCTGTTTACGTGGACAGTGTTTCCAAGACTTGCTGGGCTGCAGCCTGGCTACATTGTGTGGGAGCCTTCCCACAGGACACGAGTTGGTGCTGTGGCATAGATGAGGAAGTGTTGGTAAGTACCTCAGTAATGTCATAGCCCTCTGCTAGGAGGAAGCGATCAGTGGGATGGAATTGTTGCTCAGTGTTGGCAGATGTTATCTCACTGCTATGAAACACTAATCAGTTTACCAGGAGGCTCTGGTTTCTCAGCCCTCAGCTGCCAGGGCTGGGGAGGAAGGAGAAGTAATCCCATTGAATTGGAAATGCAGACCTGACTTCACTTCTCATGTCACCCCTTGATCCATAATAAAGGGAGAGACACTTGGGAAGCAGGACCATCTCATTTCATTTGTAGTGTCAGGGTAATGGTGTCCAGTTCCCAGCTGGTTGCAGATAACCTGGAACCTCAGAACCAACTGTTTTGAGGAATGCATTGCTGCCGTTTCCTTGCCACAGACAGGGTGGGTGGAAAGATGGACCTTTAAAGAACAAGGCAGTTTTTGTTGCAAAAGATGTTTTAATGTAAGGGCAAGAGAAATGAGCTAGGTTCTGCTTTTTCCCCACCTCCTGTTCATGCACAAGGATGACTTTTGTCTGAGAATGAAGGAGGAAATTCTGCCAGAGTGTTTTGGGAGATGACAACAATTCAGAGGGGTATTACAGAACCAAGCACTAGGATGGCTTAAACTGGGGGCTTTTGCTCCAGTGAGCACTGGTGCATATGGCTGTTTCAGTACTCATCTCCTAAATGTACAAGCACTGTTTCTTCATGGCTGAGTGAAATAAAAGCTCTTTAAGCTTTAAAATGCAAGTTTGCTATGTACCGTGATGGTGCAAAAATGGCACTAAGTTTTGTCCATGGAGCTGCTTCAGTAACACATGAGTTAACTGCAGCAGTGTTAGGAAAGGAACTGGGTTCCATTCCTTGTAACTGTAAATGTCTGGCTTGGAAGCACACCAGGTGGGGTACAGAACCTTGCTGTGCTGGGGTTTTAATGTCACTTTTTAGGTCAGGCTTTTTAAAGGTACACAGAGATGGCAGAATTGTTGGAGGTCATGAAGACATGCTCTCTATTAAATCGTGTGGGATCTTTTTTCACTAGTTAATTTCTAGCCCTTTTCAAGCATTTTAAAACAGATTCAAGTGTAACACTTTGTTTTCTGTTTTCAGAAATGAGTCAAACTAGCAGCCCTACGTAATACGCTGGTGCCATTCTGTGCTGCATCGCCATCAACAAGTCAAGAGAGTGTGATGCCTGGAAATCTCCTCTCAGATTCTTCTGAAATGGCATCTGAAATCTCCCCAAAGCACACACCTGGGAGCATGGAGATGGGTGGCACTGTGGAGAATCATGGCAGCCAAGCTAAGTGCAGAAATCTTGCCTTGGTAAGTGTTTAACGAGACTTATTCTAAGAGATACAAATTACACTAGTAGCTTTATTCACATCACAGGATTTTTTTTTTTCTTTAAGTGTTGTTTTCCATCATTTCAAGTCCTAAACAGTTGCTTCTGGTCTTGGTTGTTTACAAACTGAAGGGCCAGAAGTAACTACTCTGATTTGGTACAACAGCTTGTTACTCCGGTCTGATTGTCTCTGAGAGCTTGGAGAGGGCTTCTGCCTGGGCGTTCCTCCCAGAGAGCCAGGCAGGGCAGTAAGGAGCACACATCGTGCTGGGCTACTTGGCACAACCATGTGCATGTGGCACACAGTTTGATGCCACCTTCTGCCTTCACTTCAAGTAGCTTCTAAAGGAACTTAAGGATGGTGCTAGTTCTGTACGCTGCTTCTTTCTTAAGCTCTTTGTTGACACTTCTGAAGGAAGGTTTTGGCTTATTCTACCTTCATGTAATTAGGTGAGTAACAAATACGTCACCCTAAACAAAGCTGTCTTCACATTAGTGAATATGAGTGTGTGGCCATTGAAATAGTATGTGAGTAACTGAGGGAGTAGGATGCACTTCTGCATGTTGCCAGTTAGCAGGATGATTCAGGCAGTGAACTCAACAGTACTGCTTGTACTGTGACAGGCTAAGCCTAGAAAGCAGATAGAGATCCTTGCGTGGTTTGGTTTTTTTTAATCATCACAATAATTTGAAAAGTATCAGGTTTTAATAGAGGAAGGAGCACTCTGATAACCATGCTTTCCCTGAATGGAAATCTAAGTTGCTGTGTTGCCTTAAACATGGAATTAGGCTTTCCCTGTCTTTGCTCTGCCCTCCCTGCTAGCTTCCTTTTAGTGAAGTAGTTTTCTGTGAAAGAATAAGTGGCAAAAATAAGTCAGTAACTGATATCTATATACCTCAGAAATGCACAGTGGTTTTGTGCTATTTCATGAGCCTTTTGGCAAATGGAGGTAATTCTAGAGGTGTTCCTTCTGGGCTGTTTCTAATGAAAATAAAAGTCTGTGTTAGTGTTATGCTGTATCCTTCAGCTTGTGTGGCTAGTTAAAACACAAAACAAGTGTTACTAAATGTAGTCCCTTAACTGTTTCTGATCTGTACTGGGAAAAAGTTGTGAAGGTTCAGGCTGGGGGAAATCAAGAGCATAGTGAAGTACACCATTCAGGCCTGGGTATTTGGAATATGTTTATTATATAAAACCTGATTGGATCTTGGAGAATTACAGTAGGAGTTGCACTTTAAGAATTACAACTTAATTGCATGCAGAAATACAAGTTATGCATGACTCTGACAACAGTTTTCCAGATTATCAAGCTAGTTTATCAATCATGTTGTTATTAATCATTGTCAATCATGTTTCCATGGGTTTTATTCATGGCTGTTGTAGCAGGCAGGATGAGGCCATGTATCAATCACAGTGTTTGTACAGTCTCATCCTGAGTCTGCTGTGTCAGAAAATGACATAGGTTCCTTTATTCTAACTAGATCTTACCATGTGATGAGGATGATGCATCAGCTGGAATTGAAATCCCTCCCTACTCTGTACTGCAGTTAATTTATAGATGGAGTAAAAGCTGGCTCCAGTTCTAGGCAATTCCCATCAGACCTGTGCATCAGCAAAAGAAGTCCCCATAGCCTCTTCCCTTTGTCTTGTTTGAGTTTATGCATGAAGAAAGTGAAGTGTGTACCAATGAACTTAGTTCTGGTGCCACGGATCCCCTTCCATGACTGCTCTTCCAGCAGTATAGTAGGTGGCATGTCTGGTAAGGCTTGACAGCTAGTGTGTGTGTAATAACAGATCAGGGGATGGAAACGTTTCAATAAAGCCATAATTTCAGTTTCTGAGTTTGTGAAGAGGTCTGTGTTGAACTGAATGTGAAGGAAATTCTGCCAGTTGTGATTGAGTAAATAGTAGTCCAGTTCTAGCGCTGCTCAGACCTTTCCTTTGTGATCTGAAGTAAAAAAGCAGTATCGTTCCACTGGCTTGATGCCTTTTGTCTGTTCAGCACTGAAACAGGCTTTAGAAATCCTCAGGATAGAGCAATATTCTTCAGACATCTCTTTCTGTATATCCTTGGGTAATTGTGTACTACAGTCATGATTTTTACAATGCACTAAGCATATCAGGGAATTTGAAAGAGGAAAACCTGGTTGCTGCAGCACACTCATAGAGACCTTAACTTCTTGCTTCAGGGGTTTTGTTACAAAAGTTCAGAAAATGCAGAAGCTTTGGCCTAATGAGAAGGAGGGAATAGATAGCTTTGTGTAGACAAGTAACTTCTTAGACCAATTCTGAGAAAGGAAGGGGCAGATTTTCAAGCACACCAGACCTTCATATCCTGAAACAGAAGCAACTAGAGACCTAACTGCCTCTTTATCAGTCTTCTGGGTCTCCTCACCTGGAGACATAAGAAGGCAGGTCAGGGTTGAGTCTGGATTTTCTTTTAATGACCTTGGAAAGGGAAGAAGTGTAGCAGTGCTTCTGAGGACAGGCCTGTACTGCTGCAGGTTTCTTCCTGCTCAGTTACAGAAAATAGGCTCTTAAGCTTCTTGGTGTCAAACTACATTAGTCACTAAATATAACCTTTGTGTTGCATCTCTGGAATTCAAACAAACCTAGGGATGTGATAGTAGAGACAAACACTTGGGCTGGCTGCAGCCTAAGCTGACTGCCTGGAGCTGGTTTGGCTGCCAGTTGGCTGTTCTTGCATACTGTGTGTCTGCACTGGCTTTATTTGCTGTGGAACTGGTTGCTGGTTTAGGAATGACTAGGATGTGAATTGCCATGAACCAAAAAGGTCTTAAAAATCTGTGTATGATTCTTACCAACCAGTCGTTGTCAGTTCAGTTTAATTTTGCCAAATTTCTCATCTGCCTCTTACCTGTGCAATGCTGCTTTTAGTTCATCTTTGACAATTGCAGTCCTTAAAGCCAAATTTATTTTTTTCAAATGGAAAGCAAGATGCTGATGTCCTGTCTTGCTTGCAGTAGAATTTTCTGTATAACTAATAAATGCTTGGGTCTGAATTTATGCTGCCAAATCTATCACAGCAGCTGAAGACAAGTACAACAGCCTGCATTTAAATGGGAGGAATGTTTGCTTTGGTATTTTCATCTCACAACAACTTGTACAACCATAAATTCTTATCTGTGAAGAATTTGCACATATATTCTAGTTTCTTTTCACTGAAGGTGATCTCCATGCATCTGCTTGGCAAAAGCACGAGTCAGGAGAACCTTCTCTGTGCAAGGAATCACTTGCATTATCCAAGGAGGAGGGTGAACAAAAACACTGTTCTCCTTGGCCATTCTGCTTTCCAAACCCATTCTTGAATGACACTCGCTGGTATGTGGTGTAAGAACTAACGTGCAGTGAAGTACAGTTGCAGCAATTTAAAGACATTTAATTCAGAGATAAAACTGTCTTAGTTTTTTTGAAGCAATTTGTCTTGTTCCATTGAGTGAGCAGGCACAGACTGACTTGCAGCCAATCCTTTGTCAGTGCTTCACTCTGGTAATTGTGCTGTGTATCTGTTCTCAGCCATGAGTAACTGCTGTAGTTTCTAGGTGTGAATAACATGCTAGGACAATAGTACCACCTACAAAAACCATACCAGCAGGTGCTGGCTGTACTTGAACTGAGCTGTGCTCCTTGGAACTGCATTAGTAATAAGCTGTGTCAGTGCCTCGGATCTGCTCATATGACTCCAGTACTACACCCTCTGTCCCTGAACATGTCTTACTGAGTGATAGGTTTGAGGGGTAGTGAGTTCTTCTGACCCAGCATGACCCATTGAGATTATTTTTTCCACTTGTCTCACCTTCAGTGCACTTAGAGAAGTTTTTTTGCAATAATGATGGTCAACTGTCTAGATATAAAAATACATGCAGGGCTGTGTCTGCCTGCCACCCATTCACTCATTCTTCCCTGTCTGAAAACATGACGTGCTCCATTCTTCCAGCCTTCCTGCAAGCAGCTAAGTTCTCAGCACTCCTGGCTCTGTTCTGGAGCCTGTCCAGCTTGCTGCATCCTTTCTGAAGTGCAGTGACTGGACTCCGTGTTCCAGTCGAGGATGTGCTGTTACCTCATCACCCTGGTTAATGTATCCCTGAGTGACATGCTCATACCTGAGCAGCACTCAGCTTCCTCTGTAGGGCACGTAAACTGACCTGCAGCAACTCCTGTCTCCTGTTGCCACTCAAGGCATTGTTCATCACTCCATATTCACGTGCTTTTCAACTGCATTTTGTCTTAGGGGCTACCAGCACCACTTCCATGGTTCATAAAGGTCTCATTCTGTCCTACCTAGTTCTTGCAGCAACATCTTCCAGCAGAAGGGGATTAACAAATACTAAGTGAATTGTCTGCTGTCGTTACTGAAGTACCAGAAGTTTAGAGGTGTAGGGATAAATCTGCTCAGGACTTGTCTTGCTTCATTACACAGTTTAGATGTTGCTTCTCAAAAATAACAATCTTTCCCTTCCCACCCTGGTTACACAGGCACCTTGCAGTGACTTCATCTAGGCATAGTTTCCTTTTTCATCTATAATTAGGTTTTTGGGAGACTGTGTCTTAAAGCCTTTAAATCCAGGTATATGACATCTCATGCTTATGCCTACTGGCCGAGTCAGTAACCTTCTCATGAGATGAGATTGGTGTGAAATGAATTTATTTTTGTCAAAACAGCATTTGTGGCTTTTGTCTGAAATGTCTCAGTTTTTCTCAATGTTGTTCTAAAAAGGAAATTAAAGAAGAAATTGTGAGCTGATCAGCCTAGCTTTGATAACCAGAGAGATGTCTTCAGAGTTTGTTGATCTTGCATTGCTTCAGCTTGTTTCTTCTTAAAGTAGAAGTAATTTAATCAGTTCATGACTTCATTTAGTTCATTTTAAAAATACTTCTTAGACCATTTGTTTGCTCACTTTAGACCTATTGATTATATGCTTTGCTAAGTATTATGAAGCACATGGGTAAAATTATATTAATAAACTGAAGGAAACAGCGTTCAGTATTATAGTCTTCTTCACCAAATGAAATGGTATTATGAGAAGGACCAACCAGACAGCAGGTTGTAGAGGAGGTACTCTCTGCCACAGCACACAATTAGCCTGTGGGACTCCTGGCCACAGAATGCTGTGCATGCCAGCTGTTTAAATGGTCTCCAACAATGAGGTGAATTCATGCTGGAAAAGCTCATTAAGTGCTGGTAAGTACACAGATGGGGATGCAACTGGGAAGTCCTTAAGCCATGTACTGCTGGGAACTAGAGGAATGTAAGCAAAAAAGTATAAATCCATCCAATTTACAGAACTTCTCTTCCCCCAGCCCCACTCCCCTGTCCTGTGTCCCTGGTGGCTGCAGGCAGGCTGCTGAGCTAAAGGTGCTTTTTGGTCTGATCCCATATGGTAGTTTTTGTTCTTACCTGTAGTTTACTTGCTTCCAACTTGAGCAACACCGTGGTACAATCCATTCTGCTTCCCTTTTCTGTAAATATAATCAGAGGAACCTGGCTTTTTCTTCTGCACTGAAGCTTTTGTACCTGTTCTGATGCTGTGCCTGCGTGCAGGGCTGCCTTCTCCTCCCCCTTTCTTTCTCCAAGTGGAGCTGCCTGCCTTGGTAACAGGCTAAGGGCTAAGTAGCCCTGGGTTGGTCTGTTTGTACTCCATATTAGAATAGTTTCCTCCCTTCATGGTTTTTTTGAGAAGCATTCAGTCACTTCTCCCCCATGGAGCTGTACCTACTAATTCTTTGGCACTGTCAAGTGACTGATGATAAGCAGTCAAATCTGCTGCTCTCCTGGTATTTTGCTAATTCAAGTTTGGTTTTCTAGCAGTTTTCAGAAGAATTATTTCTTTCTTTTTTTCTTTAACCACTGCAGATGCCTTGGGATTTCCCCTGCTGTTCTGATTCTGTCACAGCTGTGCTGGTGTTAGGATTCTAGGTCTGGATGTGATGTTAAGAATTTCTTCAGATGCATGTGAAAGATTGTGAGCCTTTGATATTAAATCAGTTTTAGATGTGTAGGAAAGGGGTCTTTTCTATGAAACAGATTCTGTTCTTTTCTCTTGTTTCTTTTTGCCTGTTTCATACCAAACACCATCATAACAGACTCTTTCCTGTTTGGCATGAGCAGGAAATGTTTGCCTGCACAGGGATCTGAAATATTAATGCCAGCTGAGCATACTCAGCTTTTTCTGCTGTTTGCATTCCAAATTTCTTCTGTCCGAGCAGGTTGTCTTAAGCCTCAGCTAAGGCACAGTTTTCAAGTTTCAAATTCAGGCTGTCTTTTGACAGTAGTGTTAAAGTCAGTAGTGGCTAGGTGTATGTGAGGTGTAGTTTTGGGAGGCATGTTTCTGTGTTAAGAGTAGGGGTTTGGTGGAAGGTGAGGGGAATCATTTGAGTAACTGAAAAAAACTGTGCTTTCATCTTAAAAACCCAGATTGTTCCAGGAGATGGGAGGCCTGGAAAACCAGCCCAGAGAGAATAAGAACTGTTCCAGTACTTGGAATGTGTGCAAAATAAATTAATTGGAAGTAGACTTGATAACCTTAGTTAAAACTGGCATCAGTTAACCACAGCAAAATTCTTCCCATCCTTCTGAAAGCTTCACTATAATACAAACAATACAGGTGGACCTTTTGTAATAAATACATCACTGTTTTCAGGCCAGTGGTAAAGCAAGTCACTGCTTACTTTACATCTCAGCTCCTTTGAGTTGACCAAGTTGAGTAGGTTTCTTTTCACTGTGCTTGTGTGTCTAAAAGGGGATTGTTTCCTTGTCTTGCAAACTGAAACATGCCTTGCCTGAGGGAGTTTCTAACCAGGCTGGATGGCTTCCATCTCAGCACGGTGACCTGCCATAATGCTGCCCAATCTCTGGGGTTACCTTATTTCTTCTTGGTGTATCCCCCTCCAAGGAAACGGGACATTGGTCATCTTGAAGGAAAACTGCATAAGGAAAGAGATCCAAGTGCTACCTGAGATGAGGTGAGCCTTTTAGGTGTGCCATTTACTACAAGTATGTTTGCAAACAGATGGCTGGTCATTTCAGATCCTTCATCTGATGGGAAACTGCTCGTTTCAGCAAGGTCCATGAGGGATGGTAAGTCAGGCAGAGCTCTGCTGACCAGTCCTCCTGCAAATCTTGCCTGGCCTGGAAAAGCACTCGGCCTTGCAGCACAGAAACGAATGGGAACAAGGGCTTCTGAAAGTCTCTGCTTCAATTCACATGCTGTTTTAAGGCCTTGATCAACTGGATTAAGCTCGTGTGGGAGCAGTTCTTCTAAACAAAGTATGGTGCAGTCACTTCTCTGCTGCACCACAGCCTGGATCTGCTGCTGCTGTGAACTCCTGAAGCACAACCCCCTTTTTCCCTTTCTGTGTACAAGTCTGGCTCTTGCAATGAGCTCACTCGCCAGAAAAGCTGCTTGGAGTCCTGCTCAGCTCCAGCAAGGGCCTACCTAACAACAGCTCCTTTCCTGTCATTCTCCTGCCTACTAGTCATAGCAGCCCTATGAGTATTTGGGTGGGGAAGGAAGGAGATTGCAACATCCATTAAGGGGAAAAAAAGGCAGCTTGTCTGTGCCTTGCTTCTCCAGTGCAGCTGTAGAACTTTCCTTGCCCTTTGGAAGCTGAGCTCTGCCCTGTGGTGGGTGCAAGCAGGGGAATATGTCAGCCTTTGAAGTTAGGCCTTTAAATAGGCAACTGCAACTGGCACCCAAATTTAAGCCTTTATAGCAGTTTTGCTGTGAGTAAGTTGTTTGTTCTGACAGTACGTTGTGGATGGTGAGACCAAGAGATGTGTACAGAGGTGTGGGTCTCACATCTCCCAGCCATCAGACCACCTTCACCCTGATGACAGGAGATCAGAATCTCCAGAAATGCCATTGTTGCTGAAACCAACTCTGTATTTCCCTGCAAGGCTTCACTCTTCTGTTCTAACAGAAAACTCTGCTGGCTGTGGCTGAAGACTGACTGCTGTTCCCATGGCTGCAGCCACAGAGAAGCAAACCTGTCCTGAAGTGGCTGAACCAAGGCAGTGTGACTGTCTTCTGTGTTTCGTTCCTTTCTTTACGGGGAAAATGGTCTACAAGCCACACAGAAGGGGGCAACTAAGAGCCCTAAAGCATTTATTTTCTTATCTGTAGTATTTTGAGTACTTAGAGAGTAGCTGCCACTTGGTACAATGCAGCACCTCATGGCTGCTAATCTAAAGGCATTACTTTCCTACAGTGGTACGTTGTTCTTATTTTTAATGCTGGGGATGGGGATAAAAAGCTTTGCACAAGGAGTTAACAGGTAGAGTTGCACACTGGGTTTTTTCTATTCTAATCTAGCATAAGATGATCTGAACAGGCGTGGTGAGTTTGAAGCAAGTTGTGCTGCCCTAGCAAGAACGTGTCTACCTACCTCTTGGATATTTGCACTGCATACCTTTATGTGTTTACCTAAATTCCCCCAATCCACCATTGAGAAGTAACCTTGCTGCTTTACCTGCATGTCCAATCAGGTGTCCTTGGAGAAGTGAGAAGTAGAGAAGAGAAAGGAAACTGTCTTGTCTTGTCTTGCTTTGCTGGTGCCTTCTTGTTCAGTTACTGCGGGCAAAGTTTCCAGTGTGTCTGGAGGGGAAGAAATTCAATCCAGAAAAGGGAAAACCTCACTTAACTTTTCAACAATACTTAGTTACATTCCAGAACTTACACAGCTCTCTTGGGGAATGTCTTTCCTGTAGCCATTGTCTTAGTGCAGTGCCTTTCCTAATCATTTTGTCATCTCCAAGCTTCTGGAAAAGTGAGTGTTTCTCAGGGTTTGAGTTTGTGCATTGCTGCCTGGCTTCTCATAGTGATACTGTGTTAATCAAGAGCAGTGACTCAGAAAATGAAGACTGGATAATGCAAGTCATTATTTATCACTTCTGTGGTCTATGGGATTGTTTCTTGCTGGAGAAAATAGCCCAAGGCACTTCACTGCTAGGGAACACATCTTCATATTTATTATAAATTTTCCCTTTCTGTAACTCAAAGGTAAAATCTTTAGAAACCCTCTCCTTCCATATTACTGCTTCTTGTAATCTACTACATAACTCTGGATAACTCAAATTTCTGTGGTAGAGCCAGATTTCAGCTCCAGCTCTGCCCCTAAAAGCCAAATCACACTTTGGTCTGGAGCAAAAAGGGAATCAGCCCATTTGTTGGGCTGTCCTGAGTGCACCTCTCCCTCCCAAGCTGCCCCCCAAGCCTGGTCTCTGCACTGGACACAGCAGCTGCAGCAGTGCACTCCCCTTGGGAGCTGAGGGAGCTGTCAGAACCCTCAGAAAGGCACCAGTTGGGGGGGGGGTTGACTTTTTGACTTTTTTTTTTTCAGTATGCTTTCATATCTTTTAGCAATTTGTTCTGTCCAACTCCAGTGGACACTTTTCTGCTACATTAGGTACCTGAAAGGATGAAATAGCAGTTGCTGCCCTGTAAACTCCTGGCTGTTTTATTATTTTTTTTCCCCCCTCTTGCACTGTAGTAGCTGAATGCCTCTTCAGGAAGGGATGAAAAGAGCAAGCAGGAGATGCTTGTGAAGTGACTGCTGCCTGTTTCCTCCTGCCTCTTTCTCCCTTCAAAAAGAGGTGCTGGATTTGCTGGCAGTGTACTTACCTGTACTCACCTGTAAGGAGTTAATCTTTCTGCCTCCTTCTTTCCCCATAGGACGATGAGAGTCTGAAATACTTAACTCACGAGGAGCAGGATGTTCTCATGTTCTTTGAGGAAACCATAGATGCCTTAGAAGATGACTTGGAGGAGCCAGTCCAACGTGACAGTGGCATCCACTGTCAGTCTCCGAGGTCAACAGAAGAAAATGTGTCCAGTCATTCAGAAACTGAAGATATCATTGACTTAGTCCAGTTAACACCTGAAAGTAGTGACCATGAAGGTCCTTCTGGTGGAGATACAGAGCCAGGTAGTAGTATATCTTGAAAGTGTAGAGTGTTTTTTCTCTGTGACCTAGGACAAGCATATTCTCATTTGAAACAGTAAAAGAAATTCTGTACCTTACTGCCTCAAGATGAGTCTGATACGCGTCAGGAGGTCTAAGGAACGTGACTTTAATTTGGCTTGGGATTTCTGAAGTTCTTGCTGTTACTGTAACTTTAATTTTCTCTCTCATGGAGGTCATGCATACGACTGTGGACTGCTGTCACCCTACCTGGTGACTGAGCTGTAACAGAACTGAGTATTATGCAGAGTCATCACAGCAAGGCAAACCAGTGTTCATCAATGTGTTCACGCTCTGCTTCTCTCTTAAGACCTCTTAAAGCTCTCAGAGAAAGTCTTAAGAGAGCAGATGGTTTGTGGTATTGCCTAGTGTAGGACTGAAAGGCACATGAGCCTATCAGTAAGTTTGTGGCAAGAAGTGTGGTGTTTTCCTTGCCCTGTAGCGTTTGCTTTCTCCGGTTTTGGAGAATCATTTTATCAGCTAGTGCACAGTGGGGTGCAGCGTGTCCTCCTGGGGCTGTTAAAATGAAAAAGTCAGAATTGCAAAACTCCTCCAGAAAAAGCAGCAATTGGAACACAGCAAAGCTACCATGCAGATTGTGAGGGAAGAGCAGGAAGAGTTCCTGGTGAGGGCATTGTAAATATGGTGATTTGAGCCATAGCATCGCCTACAGGACACCATTGCTAGGAGTCCAGTGCCAGCTCCTTCTGGCAGCGTGGGCTGAACTTGAGTGAGAAAGTTTGTGGGAGGGGAGTACTGATGCTTGCTAGTCCTAGGTAAAGAAAGCCTTGTATTCTGCTTTGTGAAGAACTAATGACATTATTATGCTTTGTCTTTGAAGTGTTGGATGCACCCTCAAGAACAGAGAGCCCCAAGCCAGCTGTGCTCACTGACCTGCCCTCACATCCTGCTGGGCCACCACCACCCCCCTCAGAGGCGCTTCCTCTTCCTCCTCCACTCCCTCCTCCTGTGCAGCACCCCAAACTGCTTCGGTCTGTCCCCACTCCGCTCATCATGGCCCAGAAGATCTCTGAGCAGCAGATGGAGAGCAGGGTGCGCTTCCCCAGCGCCCTCAAGGAAGGGATTTTGGACAGGAAGAAACCTCCAGTAGCCAACGGTGATTCTTTTGGGGCTCCCAAGCACGCTCCTGCCCCTGCCCCCAAACTGCACCGGTTCCCCAGCAACATCAACATCACAAATGTCAGCGGCAGAGAGTTCAGCGAGACTATTTCAAAGGCAGCAGTTAACGTCCAGGAGCGGAGAGCTCAGGTGCTGGCCAACATCAATGGAGGAGCTTTTCTGGCAGCTGAGCTGGAGGAGAAGCTGCAGAAGAACGATTTCCTGTCACGTAACAGAAGTTCTTCCTTAAGGGATCTCTCCTCGGAGCAAACTCGATACGAGGCCCTGACAAAACTCGGCCTCGTTAAGGGGAAGCCAGCTCAGGATCAAGTGGACCATGCTCCGGGCGCTCGGCAGCTCGAGGGGCAGCCCAAGCAGGCAGAGGCTGTTCCCAATGGATACCAAAACATCCATGAGGTTTTAAAAAGGGAGCCCAGCCCTTTCCTTCCTACGGGCAAGACGGTGACCATCAAACCAGAGGCAGCTCTCGCCGCGAACAAGGTCAGCAGCGCGCAGCAGAGCACAGCAAAAACTCTTAATGATTATAAACAACCCAGTCTAAACCTGGACATGAGGAGGAGGTCGGGTTCGCTGCCTCGGCCCTCGGGGTTTCGATCCCAGGGGGTCACAGTGAAGTTTTCTGGCCGTGGCTCAACAGAAGAAGCTCGGAGAGAGGCACTTCGGAAACTGGGGCTACTGAAAGAGACGGCGTAATTCGGGTGGGAAGGTTGTGGCAGCAGGGGGAAAGTCATGGCATGGCTTTGTGCTGGGGTAGTCCCAACAGGATAGGGACCAAACAGGTTGGAAGAGGAAAGGAGAAGGTCTCAGCTTTGGGCAAGCTAAGGAGGTACTAGGCACTGTGGTGTGACCACTCATGTTTATCCCAGGAGGACTGGCACCACGTGTGGTCACACTCAGCAGCAGGCTTCAGCTCTCCTTCCTCCAGGGATTCTCAACTCTTGCTCCCGGTGACTAATTTAAGTCAAAGAATTTTATTTAAGTAGTGCTGGACTATAGCAGACAGCATCTCGTTGATGAAGTGTACAGTGCAGTATTGTTGTACGTAGCAAACTGACCAGTGAATCTTCCTTTTGCTGTTTCTGAAGCCAAAAATGAGAGCTCCATTTGTCTTGCCCACACGTGTCTGTCTTGTGGGAGCTCAAGATGATGTCAAAACTGAAATTTCTGACCAGCATGACACACTTCTGTGGCTTTTTGTTGTCTATGTAATCTGGCTTGGCTTTGTTACCCACCAGTGGTGGAGTCTTTTGCTTCCTTACTCTGTGCCCACTTGACTCCAGACTGTACAGAGGGTGGACTCTGTTTTGACCTTCTTAAAAGAGCAGCCCAGGCTTTGAGGGGGTGACTGCATCTCTCTGCTGCTTCACTTGAAGTCTTGCCTTTCTTCCCAGCCACCTGCTTCTCAGTCATGCTCTAGCAACCCCTGTGTCCAGTGAAAGGCACCAGAGGAGCCTCGAGGACACGCACCACGTGCTGGTTTGCACTGACAGCCAAAGAGTCTCCTGACAATCTGTGACCCCAACTGTTCTGTACCAGGGACAGTCTCATAGCAGAGAAGCCATAGGAACAAGTTAACTTCATACCAAACGTGAGAACCTCCTGTCAAGACTTTTGACAGACAGGGTTCCCGTGAAGAAACTGTTACCTTTTGAACAAAAGCTGTACGTGTAAATTCTGTTACTTCTAAAAACTGTCATTTGATCTTCGTGTAGTTTTACAGCCCTGATGATCCTCAGTTCACAGCCTTATTTGATTCTGCCCTGCCAATGCTTAATGGGAGTTACAGCCAAAATTCATGCAAGCTCAGTGGAGTCACAGGAGAGAGCTGTGTGTAAGAGCACGTCGCTCCTGAACAGTCCAGTTGGTGTTATTTTGCCTTTAATAGACATGATTTTAAAGATGGTCCTGAAATATATTTGTGGTTTGGCATGATTTTTTTTTTTACATGGCAAAGCTGCTCTTCCACATTAAAACTCCTTTCCATTTTTGTACACTGGAAAATATCAAAAAGAGCCATTTTAAAATCAAATGCCAAACTCTAGACCCCTCTAAACTTCTTGCTGTTGTTCCCGCATGTTTAAGAGTTACCAGTGTTGTGGTTGTTTTTTTCTCTAAAGGGAAAAGCTCACTTACTCTCTGCACTTTCTGAAGCCTCAAGCAACCCCCTCTTTTTTCTAAGCAGTAGTAATAATAATAATGAGTAATAAACCTTGGAGAAGAGGAGGGGAGTGGCTATAATAGAAACTGGCACACCCTTCAGGAGGAGCTCTGGCATAACTGTGATAAACAAGTTTGTAGTTCTTGTGATAAAGTATTTCAAACTTGCTGAGCTGCACTTGTAAATGAAGCTGTCGTGAAGGAAGAATCTTCGCATCGTTCTCAACCTGCCTCAGAAGTTAAAGGGGTTTTTTTGTCACTTTTTTCTTAATTATCTGCTTGCTGCTTCAATTTTTAATTGTGTTGTTATGGTATCTGGCTGGTTCTGTTATGTAGTTATTCTTTTCAGCCTTTTCACTGGCTAAGCGATCATGTTGCTCATTGTGAGAGGCATAGTATACATAAGCAATCAGTAATTAAAATATGTGGCCATTCCTCTGTCTGGCAAAGCACTTGGGCATGCATAATCAAACGTGAGAAGTGCTGCTGAAACAAAGAAGGCTGCTTGTATGCTGCAAGTAAAGCACATACTTATTTTTGTCCTAAATGAGGAGGACAAGCACATAGAATCCGTCTAGGGACCTGCTTCAGTGCAGCCTGCGATGGAGTCCTACATGTGGATGATGCATCATAATTTATTAACATAACCTGCTAAGTAAATATAAATGTTTCATGACCTTTGTGCTTTTAAATCTGCTAAAGCAGATTCTTCATTATAAATGTGAAGTGCGTAGTAAGCAATCTTCATATCTAATCATTTCTTGCCAGCTCTTCTTGGAGTTGTTTACAGCTGAGAGTCCAGGCTAAGCAAACAGGGAAGGGAAAAAACCCTCCCAAACCCTGACACCGTTTTGTTAAAATTCAGTCCTACTCAATAACTATTAAAAAAAAAAAAAAAAGATGTTTAAAATCTGAAGTATAAAGTTGCAGTATGCTGAATTAGCTGGGTATGTTCAGTCACCCATTGTGCAGGGCTGTGTCCTCAGCTGCTGGGAAGTGGGAGTTAGATCCTCGTGGGGTAAACCCACTTCTGCTCAGCGAGGACTTGGAAGGAGGTATTCACTGTGGCCCTTCGTTCTGGCAAGCATCCTACTGGTAAATTCTTCTTGTGCCTAAAACTGTAGTAAGTAAAGCCATGTACTAAATGAAGTTAAGAGTCTAGCTGCTAATAACCTGTATATAAATTTAGCTCTATTTTGTGTATCTTGGTTTGTGTGTATATATTGCTGTGATTTTACTTTTTTCCCCCCTGTGTTAGAAGTAACTGTCTTGCACAAATCTGATAAGTCATCTATTAAACTGGGATAAAACCAATGAGTGGCTGATGGGAGGTGGAATTTTGCTGTCACTCGCCTTTCTGGCAGGGGGGAAGTGACTTTTTATCTTGATGGCTAATACCAGTTTAATAACTTCTTGCAACCATGGATGTGTGTGGGTGCCAGAGCTCAGTCCTGGCACACCATGGGTGAAGGAGGGGGGGAAAAAAAGGATTGTGTCATTGATTTGCCAAGAGCTGTGTATTCTCCCTGCTGGGCTTCAGGAACTGGGACCAGGATCCTTGCAGGAATGAAGTTCATCCTGAACAGTGTTTGAATTAAACAAAAGCCCCCCTCTCCCAAAGTTTTGCAGTATCAGAAGTACTTTTCCAAGAGGACTGTTGTATATGTGAAGGAGTTTCTCATCTTTTTGTGTTTCCGCGGCTGCCTGCCCTGGGTGTTAGCAGAGGGGAGGGTGATCCTGCTGGAGGTAGAAGTCTTCCTTGTTGGACAGGACAGAGTGCCCCTTTAGGGAACATTCCCACCCTTCTGAGCATGTGTGTTTGCTGCCTGCCTGTCTTCTGTTTGGGTTCTTGCACATCAAGACTGCCAGGGTCCTTCCAGCCAAGCCCTAGTGTGGCTCTGGTGTGTGTTACTGGAGTCACTGCTCCTGGTGAAGGGTTACTGCTGAAATGCTACATAGCAGAGGGGGTGGCTAAAACATCTTGCACTGAGACTTCACCCACTTAAGTAGGGAATGGTTTAGAGCCAAAATTAACAAACTTTGACTTAATGATGCCAAAACCCTCAGAAGATGTTCAGGAATCAGTGGCTGCTTTTTGCTCAGGCTATCTGGGTTTAGGACTCTGTTCAGGGGCTTGTTCTTCATGCAGGCTGCCCTGAGCAGGAGGCTGGAGGGTGGCACCACCACCCCGACTGGTACCTGGGAGGAGCCCTTAGAACAATTCTGGTGTTGTGAAGATGGATTTCTTTTTCTTTTATACACAGGTGTTGTTGGGCATTTGTCCAAAGAGCATGTGTCCTAAAGAACAAAACAGAAATCACTCTAGGGAAAAAACCTCCCCTTGGCATGAGCCAAACTTTTATCCTGCAGGTAGAATGTTCAGAGCCAAAAAGCACCAGCAGTCTAGCAGCCTGTCCCCAAGCTTTCCAGGGCTGCCTTGGGGCTGGGGTAGGTGTCTCAGCCAGGACAGGCCAGGTGCCCTCTTCTAACTGTGTCCAGCTCCAGCCTGGAGGCAGCATGAGAGAATTTAACTTGGCTCAGTCTGTAATGAAACTGAAGGTGAGTGCCAGTGCCTGTCTTTGCTGCAGGGCAAAACCTCACACAGCTGCCCCATTGCTGCCTTTCAAGTGGCTGCAGCTTTGGAAATAAGCTTTAGATGTTTTGACTTCTCCTGTGCTTGTTTTATAGACACACACACGCAAATTTGGCTACTCATTTGAACAGCTTCAGAAAGCCTTATCCAGGAACTGATGGGGAAGGCAGGGGGCTAAAGGGGGCTCAGTTTTAGCCCAGTGTCTGGGGCTGGTTTTCTGTACTGATAGAGGCACAAACAGGACTTGTTCACAGCACCCAAGCAGTTTTGTAACTGAACCCCCCAAGGCAAGAACTGCAGAACTTTAGCTGCTGGTTGGTCACCAGCACTCGGGGCACGGTGGGAGCCCAGCTCAGGCACAGGTGTGCTGTGGTCATGGCGTGGCATTGCTGGGGCAGCTGCACAGCCAAGCCCTGATGGTTCAGGTTTCAGGTGTGCCCCATACCCCTGCAGCACCCACACCCCAACTAACGTGGTGTGGATGACTTGGACACTAAGCAAGTCACGAGCTGGCTTTAACAGGCCAGCACTGGAAGATGGGAGGTGGGTGTAAAGTGAGCGGAAAAACTTCAAAGCCTGTTTACCTTACTTGGGCATATTTACCTCCAAATGTCACTCCTGACCCTTGCTGCTGCTCTGAGAATCTGTCAGCAGGTTGGCTTGGCTTCAGCTGCTGCTCTACGTTTAAAATCTGGGGGGTTGTGAGTAGCACAGAGAGGCTGGGATAGCACTGGCTGCAGCTGCATTGGCAACAGTCATGCTGGGGATGGTTTGAGTGGTACCTCCTGTAGAGGTGAAGTCAGAGGAGTCTTCCTCACAACCTTGACTAGTAAACCATAAACATCATTTCCCCTGAGGTAAGGAGGGTCCTTAGACTGGATGGAGCCAAAGCCTTCCAAGGGAACACACCCTTCTCCTGCATGTTTTGGTTTTGTTTGGTCTG